AGTTTATCTCATACCACCTGATTCCTGAGATATTCCTGTATTTGTCTGAACTACATAGATAGAACCTATCCTTAGAAATCTATCAGCTGAGGTAAGTAAAACTACTTAGATGGTTCATAGAATGTTATACTCAAATAGCTGTATCTTGTTTGTTCATTAGCTCACATTCAAATCAAGGAAGTAGTCCTTTCACTATGTAGTTACATTAACTTTCAATAATAGCTACTGTCTTAAAATACCTAGTGTGTTCTTTGATAACAAAAAATTGCACAGTTTAATTTAGCTACAACTCAGAAAGTCTTATCAATCTATATTCAATTGTGTCCTTGAGCACCATGTCACTTTTAATTTCCAAATCTGTGCTTTGGTGTTTAGATGGTCTAAACATCTGCAATAATTGGTTACTCAATTCCCAAGTGTATTTGTAGTATAAATCTGAAATCAGCTTCAATAATTAGTTTATCCAAGTTGTATTCTCACTTGTTGACTAGATAATAAAGTGAAGAGTAACATTATGACTATTTATAGAAGTTTGTTATGTTTTTGGTTGAAGTTAATGAAACCATCTGTTCTTTATAACCAAACTGCCCTCAGTTTCTGGACAGTAGTTCTGATTTGTAGTGCTTTTCCCCATTTATCCTAGAATATGTGATAATCAATTTCCCTCTGTAGACAGTTTGTCTATTATTCTGACATTATGATTCGGAAACCTTAGTGCGAACTTTGCTTTCAGAATGTTTCTGCTTTTTAGTTACAATTGTCTGAGCACACTATTGCTCTGATTGTTTTTAAATCTTATTGAGATAGACCTCAGGTTATTAATGTAAATCTTTTATAGCTTTGGCTGAATTTCTTATGAGAGCTTTTGGTCTTGACAGCTGAGATGAGCCGGCTGATCTCTCTTAATGGCACTTAAATTTGAATTTTGTAGGCTGGGAGGCAGAACCACTGGAACTGGTCTGTTAAAGCATGATGGTAAATGCAGACTTAAAAAATTTGTCACCTTGTAAAAAGAAAGTCAGTCTGTAGAGTTCACTCCCTTTCTTGGTTTGATTTAAAAACAGAGTTTTTTTTTTTAGTCACCACTGGGCTGGTAATTTGAGGTGGAGGAAACTACTATGAACATTTTCATTTCAACTTAGATTCTGAGATTCTTTGATTCTCTGGAGCCAAAGTCTTTCAAGGGTTTTCAAGAGGAGGCTGTGACTGGAGGGGAAGAGTGCTGTCTGTCTCTTGGTCCTGAGTGACAACCCGTGCCCTCTACCTCCAGCTGGGAACTCAAAGCACTGTTGAATAGCACTAAAATCAGCTGAGTCCACGGCTTCAGCCAGATGGTCAATATAGGGCTTTTAAAGGAAGGGAAATAGTTAAAGAGTCATCTCAGAGGAACTCTCTAATGTTAAAGAACTGAGAAAATGAAGTCTTTCTCAAGCTAAGTGTAAATTATGCCACCTTCTCGGGGAGCAAAAGCTGCTAAATATAGCAGAAGAAAACAATAATGCAGGAAATCAAAGTTCAGTAACAAACTTCCAAGTGTGGTTTTCTAATGTTTAATCCTCTCTTACTCCCTTCTCAGGACCCAGTGCTTCCTTTTCCTCCCCCTTCTCCGAAGTCTATTTGAAAGGGATTTTTATGGGTAATGGCAAAGGAAGGCAACTTTAGAAAGAGTATAAATTAGGGCATAAGATGCCCTTTGTGCAGGAATTATCTTAGACATGCTTTTGAAAACATACTTTTTAAAAAAGCTTTATTAAGAAAATAATCAAAGGTATGATTCTTAAATCTTGGAGTTTAGTCTGCTTTCAGTAAAAATAAGGTATAGGTACCAAAATAAGCAAACCTCTTTTTTTTCTTTCCTGGTTTCTGCTTATAAGATTTACAGGTATTTAAAATAAACCCATGAAAAACAGAAATACTGTCCTGGGATTGGATAAATAGTCAGAGCAATTACCTCCCGGCTCCAAAATCCAACTGAGCTTGACTTTTGGAAATAAATTTAGCTAAAACTTCTTCCTCATTCCGTTGTATAAAGGTGTATATGAAATGATACTGACCTCTACGAGAAACTGCAGGAATCCTATTTAGTGATGTACTTGTAAGAGTCATGAAAGAATTAAAACAACACAGATGTCGATTAATATGAAAAAGTAGGCAAAATACTAAATCTGCATTGTGTGGATTTATTGTGGCAGATGCTTTAAAATACCTTGGTGTACCACAATAATTAAAGGGTGTAAGAACATTAGGTCAAAATACCTAGAAAATAAAAGCTCACAATTGAAAAACAAGAAGGAACTGTTTTATATTTTAAAATTGGAATAACTGTAGGTTGCAGTGAGGAAATAGATTGAAACATTTAACAGTAACTGTTTTGTGCAGCCCTAGAGATCAAAAACAGCAGTGTAAATAAGCAGGTCTTTAAAGAACCATACTCACAGGCACGTTTAATGTAAATGATTGCTTGAAGGGAAAGGTATTTTCTTCAGTGCTATGCAAAGAAATTTTAATTGACTTTATTTTGGCAGTGAGAATCTACAATTTAGCATTAATAACTAAAATTTAAAAATATTTGCTCATTGCTTTGGGTTATGACTGTGTTCAAGAAATACTATTTTCAAACACTAATTAATCATTTTAAATAAACATTTTTTTACACATTTATGGCATCAATGAGTATGACTGTTTATTACATTTTACCTATAAAAAGTTGAACTGTTTTATATACTCTTTATGGAAACAGTGCAATCATAAATTAAAAGATGCAACTGTTTTGGATCTTTTACTGGTGGTCCTGTGTTTTCCTGCCAGCAGTGCAGCTGTTTTGGGTTTCTCAGGATAACATATAAAAAGCTGCATGTACACTGCAAGTTTATGCTTGAATTGCCAAACCAGAGATGGTATGACTCAACTTTCCCAGAAGCAAGTTGTACCAAGATGTGATGAATTTAAAACTGCTAGTTGCACAGTGGTTTGTATTACAGCAATGAAAACCGATTCTCATTTATGATAGTTGACTTCTTAAGGTTGACAGACATTATTCTGTGATACTTGAATTTTGCCATGAGTAAACAGTCATTGGAGCTAGACTGTGCTTTTCTTTTGAGGGTCTAAGGAAAGGAAAAGGGTGAAAACTGTCTGGTGTATGGATAAAAATTAGCTGGAAACTTGTATCAGGAATGGAACATTTCATTTCCAAGATACCTGTAAAAATATCATTCATTATTTGCGTGATGGTCATTGCACTCCCAGTGAAATTTATTTTATGCTGTTCCAGTTTGATATGTAGACTTCCTGAGGTGATTTAGCGCTTATGTCATTTCTCATGCATCAGAGTCATAACAGTAGTCATCTTATTGTGTCCTGGGAGGTAATAAACAGATACCTTTTATGACCATGCAGTACATTTGGTTAATCTCTCTTTAAATCTGTGGGACCTAAGGTCTTATCACAAGTTTGACAATGACTGCTTAGTAATAGTCTCCAAAGTGGGATGTATCCACCAGGGCATGTAAGATGAGATGTAGGGAGACAGTATTAAAATGTTTATTTAAATGGTTTTATCTCATCCTTTATATATTTCTATTCAATGTGTTTTACAATGTTCTTACTATATTAGTATAGTATGTATATAATTATGTATTATATATTAACTTAATACTCTATAATTTATAAATAAGTATAAAACTTGGGAGATGCATGCTTGAATATTTTTTACTGCTATAAATATATTATCAAAAAAGTTTGGAGATTGTTGCCTAATAAATACTAATTTCCTTTCCCCTTCTACTTCACCCTTTCACCCTTGGCAAAGAAGCAAAGAATCGAGTTAGCACCTTGATTTGTGACAGAGTGAATAAGTTATAGCCAACTCCAGGAGCTTATGCTGTGCCTTACTCCTTACTTTGACCACTTTTTCTATTTGGCCTCTTACATTGCCATATATTTTTTAATCACAAAAGCTTATTAAACATGGATACAAATGAAAAACAGACTTGTTATTATGTTAGAAATACAAGTTGCTCATGCATCAAGACTTTGACACACAGGAAGTTTGAATGAATGAGTAGAAAAGTTTCCAAGTTATTAAAATGTTCTGGTACCTGATTTATTCATTTGCCATACCCGTAATTCTAAGATGGGTGAAGCTCTTTTACTTCCTGAGGTCTGAAGAAACAATGTGGTTTCTTAAACTAGGCATGAAAGCAAAGCTGAAAATATTTGTTTTCTAACAGTGCTGGTGATCATGCTAACAAGTTATCCTTCTTTGTCTACGATTGTCCCATTGTTTAGGCCCATTGTCTACCTTTATCGAGGTAGAAAGTTTTAATTGCTAAATAATATGGGTTGATTTAAGAAAACAGTGTCTATTACACTGTTTTGAGATCATTTACTAATTAGAACATTCTTTTGAACTCCAGCTCAGTCTCAAAGATTTCTTGGACGTGTAATTTTTTAGTTTCCTTCCCTGTAAGAAAGGAGACAGTATATTTTTGTAATACTGAAGAAATTTTGAAATAATTAGTATGTTCTCTTCCCTCCTCCATTTGTTTAGGTATTTGTGTCAGAACATATTTATATAAAAGATTCAATTTTATGTAAAATATTAGTAATATAATAGTAGTATGATTCTGTGTATTTATTAAGACTATGCCAAGAAGGAGAGCAGCAGTTAGGTACCCAAACAACAGCCAGTAAAACAAGGAAGTTCTGAAAATAGGGAACAGTAAACATTTTTTATAGCATTTTATTTTTGAAACCTTCAGAGCTGTTTTTAGGTCTTAATGTAATTTGTTTTATAATTTATCATGTAAACTAATTTAGGCATTCTATGTACAGTTGGTATGTTTCCTTCTGAAAGGTAATAACGCATTTAAAAGCTTAACTTTCAATCTCAGAATTCCTCTTTAAAATTTGAATCAGTTTTACTTTATTGCTTTTTAAAATGTTACCAATTTATATATGCTTTCTATGTGAGTGCAATACTTTTTGTTTTGTTTTAGGTATTTAAATCATGTCAGAGCTGCCTCTCCACAGGACCTTGCTGGAGGCTATACTTCTTCTCTTGCTTGTCACCGAGCACTACAGGATGCATTCAGTGGGCTTTTCTGTCATTCTCCTTTATAAGATTTGGACCTTGGAGCCGAACCAGGGAACTAGCACAAGTAAAGCAGACTTGTAAAATTATAGCCATGTGCAGCTGCACAACAACAGGACTACTTAACTAGCAGCTGTGTTAAAGTATCTATAAAGAGAAAATTTCAAAACTAACCTGAGTAATATAGTGGAAAAGTATTCGTGAAAAATTTATTTTTTACTTATATTTTTTCTGAGAGGGATTGAAACTTTAAGCCTCATCTGATGGAAGATATGAGTAATTCACCTATGTATGCTTGAAGTTGACAGACTTGTAAAATTTTTTTAAAAATAAAGCTAGACTTTATATTAAATATTGTGGTTTTTCTCTTATTACAGTGTTTTACTTGAGCACATTTTAAAATGCGATTTTGAATATGACATTTAGTGTTAATATCCAAGTCTATTATTTCTTCTCATAAAATTTTCCTTATTTTCCTAATGTCTTCTTAAGACTAGTCCAGACAAGTGGGTATGTTTCCTTCTACCAGCAGATTGTGGCAGGTAAAATCAGAGCTGTGCTAATGTCACTCTTTCAATTTTAAGGACTCAGTGGCTAATTTTAACAGTGGAAAGAGAGACAAACTTTCATCAAGGTGTTACAGTTCCCAGTTGTGAGCCACACTTAGGATATAACAGAGCAGTGTATTATCCTGCTTTAATGACAAATTCAAAGAAATCAGTTAATAAAATTTAATACTTAAATGGCACCTTTCACCTCAAATGTGAGCTTATTTTATGATGAAACTGTGGAGACTGGAATGGATACATTTAAATGAAGTTTCTCTGAATAAATTGTAGATTCTGTTGTAGTTTATGCTAGAACTTCAAAGGCTTTTTCTTATATCCAGGATTTTGCTTAAAGAGTTTGGGTGTGGATAGGATGGGGCATCTTAACCTTGGAGTCTATATTATAGACCACTGGGTATGGGACATAGTTTCTCAAGGAAATTAAGGGATTTCCTATCAAATCTCCATTACAACAGAGGTTAATTTTATGGGTGGAAAGTTATGTGAAACAAGGTCCATGATTGTATTAAGGTGGAATATCCATATGTTAACAATTCTACCTTATTTGACTAGGCAGGTATTAATTTCAGGAGTACATTTTCATCTTTACAGTACTTCTAGCCATCTTTGATTGAGGAAACTAAGGCACTGAATAATGGATAGGCTGAGATCATATGTACAAGTTAATAAAAGCCAGAATTAAAACACAGGGTTTTTTAATCTAAGTCCAGTTCTACCTATACTCTACCAGGCTCCATCCTGTTTCTCAGATCTATTAGTATTTCTCATTAAGAATTAATGTTTTACATATAATCTACAGACCAGTTCAAAGATTAGTGGAATATTGGACTTAATGTCTAGGCTTTGTTGTACTTAGCTGTCAAAGTAAGGTATCCAGTCTTTAAAAATGAAACACTATTACTTGTTCTCAGTACCTTGGATATATAATGTATTTAAATGGAATAAACTAATTAATAGAACATTTCAAAAGCTTTTAAAACTTCTTTTGATCATACCTTATTGTGGAAATTGCTTGAACCTGATTTGGCAAATAAATTCTAAAACTTTACATGTTTGTAAATATTTTGCCCTAACTATTGCCATACTTAGTTCAATAGACAATTCAGAGGTTGTTAACTGATTGTTGTTACTAGAGCAAAAGGAATGAGTGCAGACAGCCTAATGACAATTCACCAAGTAACAAAAATACTCTGAATTGATGAAGTTATCCCTCATCTTCCTAATGATTTCCTCTCTCAGAGACAAAAGGTGTCTGTACAAGACTACAACTATGTGAATTGTCTTTTAACATTTTATACATTAGCACAAAAATAATAGGTAACAACAACTGGACATTACCTATGTGCCACGCACTGTACTTCATTCTTTGTATGTTATCTAATCCCTACAACAGTGCTAGTATTATTTTCTTCATTTTAACAGATGAGAAACTGAGGCAAAGAGGTTAAGTAACTTACCAAAAGTTTAATACAACTGAAATGAAGCAGAGTTTGGGTTTGAACTCAAGTGGTCAAACTCCAGAGTCTATGCTCTAGAGATGACTGTCAAACTGTCAACTGAACAAACAACAGCTGTGTACAGCAGTCAAACTTTCTAAGACTTCTGGGAAATTTACAGATCATGCATCTAGTTCTTTTATGGGATACAAATGACATCAACTAAATAACCTTGTTGATATCTTTGAGAGAAGTGAGAAATCCTTTATGTACTATATAAATATTAACTATACTCCCTTTTAAACAGATTAATGGTATTAAACACATTTACATTGTAGTTGGGATGCATTACTTTAGTATTCCTTAATTTTATTCAAAATATTTGATCTAAGCTTCTCTTAGAAGTTATCTTTAGCCCATGAACAAGTAGTCCAATAATTGTTTTCAGAATACAATTAAGGTGGCAGAAGACTTGTTACAAAATTAGTAACAAAATTTAAAAATTGTATCTAATGAGCTTTCCAGCTGTCATTTTCTGGTGGATTCACCAAGAGTTCTGTTACACTTCACATAAAAAAGTTTATGGTGGGCCAAGATTGAAATAATGAAATGATCATACATTTCACTTATTCACTCTGAGGGACAAAGGGGAAGGGTCAAAATATTAACATTTATATACTGCATATTTTATCTAGGGTGATTAAATAGATGAAAGAATCTTACCACTTTATATGTATGAGTAAGAACATCATTTGTGCCCACACTTAATATTCACGACCTAGAACATCAGTGTACTAGGAAAAAATTTCTTACTCCTACTTGCAAATTAATTCTCTTAACCTAGATCAGAAAGCAAACTATGGAGCCCTGGCCAAAACCAGCTGCTGACTATTTTTGTATGTTCCATTAGTTAAGATTGGTGTCTTTATATTTCTTTTGGATTTGAAAAAAAGCTGAAAGAATAACATACTTTTTTAAATGTAAAAGCATACAAATTCAAATTTTAGTGTCCATAAAGTTTTTGGAAGTGTCCATAAAGTTTACGTATTATCTATTGTTGCTTTGGGGCCACTACAGCAGAGTTGAGAAGTGAGAGACCTTATGGCTTATAAAGCCTAAAATACTCTGACCCTTCACAGAAAGTTTGCCAAACCCCTGACCTACATGCTCACTTGGAGAGGAAAGGAGGGAGAAAACTGTAGGTCCCAAACCAGCAATTCCTAGGTGAACTAGTCCCAAGGTTTTGCGTAGGTTGGGTTAAGTTTCAAAACAATTTTAAATGCCTTAGGTAAGGAATGAAGGCTCCAGTTCATTATTACTTTCCTACACTTTTTACCATTACTGCTTTCATCTATTTATGCCTGGCTTCTGAAGGCATTTGTGTTTGTAGATCAGGGCACCTCAGACTTTTTCTGTAGGGCCAGAGAGCAAATATTTTTGGCTTTGTGGGCTAAGAGGCAATATTGAGGACACCACATAGGTACTTACATAAAAGGAGATAAATTGGCATAGTTTTTTAAATTAACAAAATTCAAAATATAATTGAATACATTTTTTATAATGTATTTTTTGGTGAATAGCATTTCCCTTATTGGGGTTCTAAGTGTTTATCAAATCAATTGTAAATATCACCTGTTAATGATTACCTGTAATGAATTTTGTACATTTCATCTTTAAAAATGTCTTTTTCACACAGATAGTGCTTAATATTGGTATTCATCCAGGAATATATGATTTTGAGTATTCATCACTTGGAAGTCATTTGTAAAACTTGTTAAATTTTCCCCTTGATATTTGCCCTTTAGCATGTCATTCTGGTAGCACATTAACCACTGCCTGTTGAAGATAAGATGGAAGTTCAATTGCAGTTAAATGGATTTTGAAATATATAAATTTCCTTTGTATTTGCACCAAGTCCCACAAATGCTGTATTCAGAAAATCTTTCAACCACTAATTTGTGTGAGAATGGAAATCGTTTCATTTTAATTTTTGACAGCATGAGAAATGTATAACACAGTATATTGTGATTCAAATGTCAGTTGTTGGATGACTACCACATTATGTTTCACATTAAAGTTATGCTTGCCTTTTAAGTTGAAATCTTTAAGAAATACTATCGAGTTTCTAGCAAAAGCTAACTTATAGTCATTCATTGATCTAAAATAGTGTTTAAGAGTGATTCTTCTTAAGAAAAAATTCAGTCTTGACCTTGAACTTAAAATATTGCAATCAAACTTAGTTCAAGCAAGTCAAGAAATTCAGCTTCAATTTCTAACAGGGACTTGAAGATGGCTAAAGTCCATGAAAACAAATGAAGTTTACCATTGACACTGCTGGTTCAGTAACACAATAGATTCAAGAAATTTCTGCAAGGTACTTGCTGGTGAATAATACAGTGAATAACTATAGGTTTTAAACACTTAAAATTTTCACAAGCTTTGTAAGTTTATCCAACTAGGTCTTTTTCTACCTCACACATATTTTTACCACCATCAGCTATAAGACATCTTAGCAGATTCTACTTCAAGTTGTACAGAATTAGTGTTTTCTCAACTTTCCTTGAAAATATCCACACATAGCTGTTTGATGCAGAGTATTCTGAAACTAGGTTTTCAGTAACTTCAAACTCAGCACTGATGCCTCAAATAAACAAGAACTGAGGAGATTAGTAACATCTATCAACTTGTCAAGAGTCAAAGAACCACTCAGACTCGTTACCTTTTAATTGGCTACTGATGTTAGACTCCAAGTGTCCTCAACTCTTTGAACAATTGTTCTTGCCAAAACGCAAATAGTCTTAAACAAGTTTACTTTATCTGAACACAGTTCTTTGGTTGCTGCATTCAAACACAACTCACCATCCCAAATAGCTTTTCTTGCTTGGCTTACAAAAGAGTCACTTGGAGTCTTAACTTTGGTTGTTAGCCTCATTTTCAATTTTTGTGAGGAAATTCTGCTATGATGAGATATTTACAAATTTAAATTTCTAATTTTTCTGATAGTTGCTTGCCTGTAAGTTGGAAATACTGTGATGGGTGCTTTTGGTAATGTCAAATGTATATTGTATCTTATCTCATGTATAGATATTTTGTCTTCTAATATCAAAATAATTCATACTCCACTGTGCTAAAAGCACATATATAGTGTGCTGAGCAGCAGTATGAAGTGGTAAGAATCACATAATCTCTGTGTGGCAACTAACTGCTCAGTTGTTATACTATGAAAGCAGCCATGAAAAATATGTGAACAAATGAGCATGGTATGTTCCAATAAAACTTTATTTAGACACTGAAATTCAAATTTCATGTAATTTTCCTGTCACAAAATGTTATTCTTTGGATTTTTTTTCAACTATTTATAAATGTAAGAATCATTCCCAGGTCATATCTGGCCTGATGGACATAGTCTGCCTATATCCCTTTATCTAAATAATATCATTTTTTATTTTATAGTGATATTACAGGGGTAGTAAAGGATAGCATACTTATATAAAACTTAGCTATATGATTCAACAAAGGACATTTGCAGTGATATTAGTGTTTTCCTAGGTAGCATGTATTTATTCTACTTCAAAAACTATTTTCCTAAGACATAAAAGACAATGTTTAAACATTTATATAATAAAAATTAGATATAACTTAGATTGAGGAATTATAATAATTTAGATGAAGACATATTTAATAGACTTACTTAAATTTTAATTTGATAATACTCAATTTATAAAACAGTAAGGACAAAATAAGACAGCAAGTGTTCAAAATTAAACAATGTTAAAATTTTATGAAGTTATACAAATTATTTTTCATTACATAAAGGTATAGTGGGAGATGGAGAAAACATTTCCAGTCAAGTAACTGAATAAATTTGTGTTTTTTCCTCTGAGAAGGCTTTACCCATCTTCTGGCGTTTAAGAGGTGGAGCCTCATTATTCTCTGTAACAAACAGAAAAACATATTAGGTAAGATAGTTAACATTTGAAAATACTTTGAAAAAGCAAATAATATAAGCATTTTAAAGATTTTATCTACTTATACATGAAATAGTAACATTCCTGGGTACTTTAATGAAATGGTGTTCTAGACTGAACACTGTGTCATACTAAAATTGGGAAAAACTAGTCACAGTTCAGTGGCAAGGGGTCTTCAAATGAAATACGTAAAGAATTAGCTTGACCTTTAACCAAAATTAATAATACAAAGTGTGTATATATATATATATGTAGCCCAAGAAAGCTAAATGAAAGGTATTATAGTTTACATTTAATTTCCTGGAAATTGCTCACCTAGATTTAGGGTCTGGTTCTTGTAGAGTATAGCAGCAGGAATCTGAAAGGTGATGCATAACATTTCTTTGTTAGGGGCCACATTTCTTACTAGGTGAACTGAACTGCATGCCTCCAAGGAAATGCCTAACACAGCTCCAGCTCTTTGCTGAACATCCTTAGCAGGATTAGCATCTTTGGAAAAGCTGTAGCAGTGCACTATGGGAAGGAACTCATTGCTGCATGGCGGCCCATCTAAAAGTGATTTTAATGCACTGAGAAACTCAACGGCCTTTGCTGGCAAGTTCATAACAATGTGCACTGAATGCTTTTTTTCTTGTGACAGTGGTCCCAGCTGCTGCATGAGCTCTTCTCTGACTGGTCCTTGGAGGAAGTCTTTTCCATCCAAGTTAAAGACTTTCACCTTTTGGTCCACTTTGTTTAATTTACAGTTGTGTGATAGCCATTTATGGGATTCAGGATTGAGATCATTGGCAAATACAGTGCAGTTTTTCTTTGCTACTGGAATGGCAAAGGGCCCAACCCCAGCAAAAACATCAAATAGGACATCTCCAGGCTTGAGAAGTTCTGTGATACGACTGTGTTCTGTAGAGAGACGAGGATTCCAATACACTTTTGAAAAATCAAATTCGTATGTATAGCTGTTTTCTCGAACCTGAAAAAAAGTATAATTTTGCTTAATCTGCTTAAGTCTTAAATTCCAGTTGCTGATATTGGATGTGTGCACCTACGCACATACACACATTTAATTTTACTACTATTAAGAGCAAGTAATAGTGCATTTAAAGACATTTAAATTAGAATTTGGTGTTTATGCTATACTTGAAGCCAGTTAATATCTTGCATTAGACTTTTTCAGGAAAAAAGTCATTTCTTCAAAGTCAAATGGCTCTCCACCTCATCCTAAAGGGCTATAAAGTGGCTCCTAAGTCATATGAGAGATATTTCAGATAGGCCAATTGCCTGTCTTAATTATACTCTTGTTATATCACCTGATGGAGATGAAGAAAACTGTAATTTGAAACAATACTCTGTACATATCTTCATGCTGGATAGCTAAGCTGCAGAGAGCACTTCCACACAGCAAACAAGCTTCCCTCCTTAGTTTTCAGTTTGTAAGAGGGAGGCATGACAGATGTGTCATTGAATTTGAGGTATTTCAATATGTTTTTAGAAGTTACCTGGACTTTGCAAGTTTCATGTACATAAATTAGAGCCAGTTTAGAACAGATTATTCCCCTACTTTCTCCTTGCCCAAATTTGAGTTTTTTCATAAGTAAACTAAATATATACAGTGAAACTAAGTCTTGAACAAAACTAGACAAAAAAAAAACTTTGTACCACTTCTTTTGGGACTATCATAAACATAAGAGAAAAAAACTAAAATTATAGTCATGGAATATGACCTTGCCATCAACTTAAGCCCCTTATTTAATAGATGAAGAATCAAAGCCCAGAAAGTTCCTAAGTTCTATAAATCTGACAGAGATATGTATCTTCTATATTCTGCCTTCATGGATCTTAATTCCAAATTTGTGCATATTTTTCTCCTGACCACATCAGATGCATTAGCTGTATTACTAAGGTTCCAGAGTTGGAAATGTTTCTTCATGATTCTGCCAACTTAAAGTCTTTCTCTATATATAACCTGGAAGGTTTAAATATGTCTTGGGGTGCTTTCCTGAAATCTCCTTTCTACTTCCCCATTTAAGCTTCATGTAAAGCACAATTCTAATATAAAAAATGTAGCTTCTAAGTACCTTTCTGGATTTACTCATGCTGTCTTTGATACCTCACTCCCATAGCCAACATAACTCCGCCCAATTCACTTTCAAAAACAAATTTTAACTTGTAATACACACAGTACTTTAATGTTGCATGAACTCCTAAAGTTAAAATTAAACGTGATTCTGTTTGGAGCAAAAAAATTATACCATAATATACAAAGAAATTGTATACAAAGAAATATACAATACATGTAAAATATATGGTATAAATATGAAATAAAATATATGTCCTAATAACAAACTTATTGACTTAGAAAATCAATCACAAGGCATTTATAAAATTAGAGAAGTTTCTCAGAACTTTCAGATCTTCTCTATGAAAAGAATGATGCTACCTGTTATCTTTAAGAGTCATACCAAGTGATAATATAAAAAGTATAAATAACAAAAATCACCAGTAAAACCATAAAAAAAGTGCCCACTGTTACTATTCTGCTGTATGTACATATTTACATATTTAGTTAAAATGGAATTATGCTATATATATTGTTGTATAATGATTTTATCACCTAATCTGTCAAAGAGCAATTATTTTAGTAAGTATGGAACTAAATATCTAATGATTATATCATTTGTTATACTAGAATTTAATCAATTCTCTACTGATGAATATTTAGATTTTCTTATTTATTTGTTATAAAAATGATGATGAAGAGCCTAGTACATAAATCATTACAATTCTGTCCAGTTATATCTTCAGGGTAACCTCCTATAAATGGAATGGTAGGTCAAACAGTTTACCTATTCAAAATTGCAATATATTACCATATATTCTTTATGAATGTGTCAAATCTGTACTTGCACCTATGATATGTAAATGCTCACATTCTTACATACTCATCAATACTGCATTACTATAAATATTTTTGATCTTTGTCATCTATTCTGACCTAAACATTAATCTTGATCTGCACTGTACTAGGAGACCACAAAATACTCCATACCTTGGTCGTCATGTTCTCCTCACCAGATAGCACTTCCATTTGGAAATTTCGGAATGTGCTATCAATATTACTGGTTTTATTTACTGCTGAGGTGATTCCTGGATTTTTGTCAATCATAACTTGGCCTAAAAGAAGAGAATTCAGAATAAACGTTGCTTATTGGTTGCAGTTAACATTGCAAATCTGAAATGGAAATGAACTATGTTTTCTTTTGGTTTATAGACAAAAACTGTATCTAGTTTATGTAAAGTAGCATACAACTCTAAGAATTCACCCATTTACTAAAGTTAATGTCTGATAGCCTTCAAAACAAACACACAAAAAATTGGATAATTTTAAAAGAAAAAATTCTTGAGGAATTTGGGTCAACCTAGCATTTTTCCATGTTTTTTAAAATAAATCATCTTAAATGTACCAATACAACAATAAGCAAAAGGGCATTGGTAAAGGATAGAAAGAAGAGATATAAAAGATGTGGCAACAAATGGTTTCAGAAAATGCCTGTGTGTCCCTATTGGCCTTAAACCAAATGTGTGTTTTACTGTGCACTTGAAACAGATGCTTCTACTTCAGAAATATATACCAGTAAAATAATATTTTCAAATAAGAGAAACAGACTTTAGAGTATTTATCTAAATAAAATGCTCATTTACATAAGTTGTTCTTTTTGTCAAATAATTTGCTAGAGCAGAAATAAGCTACAGATAATAAAATACACCAGAAATGGTATGTTGATGCCATTTAACCAAAGTCTATTTTTTTGGTCAGCACTTAAAAAATTTGTAAGAATCTGTAAGCTATTGCATTGCATAAGGAAAGATAACCTTGTGTAAGTTAGTGAAAAGTCTTATAATACAATTATGCTGAAATACAACGAAAATTTTTCTCAGATAATTAGATACCTGATTTTGAATATGATAGTATCAATAAGTTGCAGCCAATCATTGCTGTTATCCTGTTCTGCTTCAGGTATCAGAATACAATTTTAAAGGTACACAAGTTAGTTTGAAATGTGGAATGAAGTAAGAATAGTAATAATAAATAATAATAAACTACTCTGAAGGTCTAGTAAGAGCTTTAAAATAATCAGTGTAAGAAAATGTCCCACTTTTTATCTGTGAGTGCCCCTTTATGAAAAGGAGCTTATAAAATAGGAATGCCAAAAGTAATGTTTGAGTTAGGATAGACAATGACTTGTAGCAAAGCCAAGACTTAACATTTGCACCCAGTCATATTTAAGTATTTATGTTACCACTATGCATTATCAACCCTTTTCATCAATAAAAATGAAATGTATAACAGCATATTTATGAACTACTACCCATGCAAAATACTACACACTACATTTTAAAGCTGGAAATAAATCCCAGAAGTTCTGATAATTACTTAATAAAAACTATCTGGAGAATGCATGGACATCAAATATTTATATCAAATATTTATATTTATTATTATTAAATACAATTTTGATTAGTCTTCTACTTCTCTTTTATCCAAATAATAAAAGACCCAGGCTCAAACTTGGGGCTACAGAGGTATAACACACACAAGCATTATTTCTACAAGTCTAGGAGCACTAAAAAACAATGGTGACTGGTATATAGAAGACGGTCAGTTAATTGAATCAATAAATTAAATGAAAGCAAGAGTTAATAGTGTCTTGCACTTTTGACTAAAACACTCAAACTCCCGAAACCTACCATTCAGCACAGTTCTGAAGGTCTATTAAGTCCTATGTACCAAAATGACAAGTTGCCAAAGAATTTTGTCAAATTGAGTGACTCAAGTTTAATTTATGCTTAAAAACTGGGTACACAAAAGCTTGACCTGATATTTAGGGCTTGCTATGACTCTGGGAAGAGTATTCCAAAATGGCTCTTGAGAGTGTGTAGCTCAAGATCCAGCTTAAAATGATAAAGCATCTGCTTCTGTAATTTGACATTTTAAAAACTAAAATTAGAACTCACTAGCATACAAATATTACTAAGTCACACCTACCAATTAAATGCTTGAAAGGTAGTTGATGATCTCGAAGGTTCAGGTGGGCAATATGTCCAACTCTGCTAAACCCTGAAGTCACATCTTGACCTTCAGGAAGCACAGCTCTCAAGATTTCTTCTGACTTAAAGTTTTCATAAGTTAGTTCCAAATTATATTCAGCTATATGTGAATTGACATTAAGCTGCTTTAAAATACTAAGTTCTGCTTTTTCAAAGGAATCATCACTAATCATTTTATAGGGATCCAACATAATTAATCTACTTCCTTCATCTTCTGGATCTTCAATCACACGTTTTATGCCTGGGCGCTGCAGTGCTGCCCTTTTAAGGGATCGCATCAATTTACTGACTATTTCTTTCCTTACTTTAAGTACTGGGATGGTAACTTTCTTCTTAAAAGCTGTCCTATCAAGTTTTGTCATTCCTCGCACATTAGAGGGTGGTGAAAACAATTCAGAGTCTCTCTGATTTGTTTCTATTTCAGGCATGGTTGAGAATCTTTTTCTTTGATCCAACAAGAAAATAATAGGTGCTCTGCTAAGCTTCTGTATCAGTGATGTCCAAGCAAGTGGGATCAACGATTCTGATTCAGTTATTCTACAGCTTTCCACTTTGAGAAGTCTTCTTGAGAATCCAAATGGCCTCCGAAAGATCCTTAAAAGAAGTATTCATTTAAAAAATGTATCATAAAGCTACAAACTTACATGGTCACAGTAGGTTGTGAGTAGGTTTCATTTTATCTAACCTGCTAAATGCTGATAATTAAAACTTTTAGTGGTGAGAGGTATGCTATGCTTTCCAGGATATGATGACTCTTATTAGGAGCAAATAATAAATTTTCCCCTTCAACCCACCTGATGTCAGTAGGAGGGCTTGGTGATCGATCCATCAGCCTCCCTATAGTCAATGAACCACTCCAACCCACAATTTTCTACAGAATACATTTGGTACCCGAAGGCAAGGTTTTGAGTTAAAGAAGCATCTCTAAATAGTCATTATGACTTTACCAATAGCTACTGGTAAAGGATATTCTTATAGGTGCTTATTGTGTCAGATGCTTTAATAAATACTTTACACACATTGATGTCTTGGGATATGTGCAGGATAGCAACCTCATTTTGTAAATGGGTAAATGAAAGCTTCTAAGCAGGTTAATTCACCCCAAACCTTGTAGCTGGTAGGTGGCTGCCCAAGGATTAAAACCCAGGTCGGACAGACGTCAATGCCTGTATTCTTAACACAGTGCTTACACTGTTTGTCAGTGCTTTACTGCCATAAATCCTGCCTATAACTTGAGAACCAGGCCTTTGCTGAATATTATATGCACACCCTATTAAGAGTAACCACTCACTTTGCCTTCTAGAATACCAAAGAAGCAACAGTAAGATGAAAGGGCCCTGCCCTGGAACCCTGAAAAACAATTATCAAACTTCCCGTCAGGGTTCAAATAGAGTCTAGCAGTTTGCAGCTGTTGTGATCTTGGGTAAATTATTTAATCTGAGTTTCCGTTTCCCACATGTGAAAAGTGGTTAAAGGCTCTATCAGAAAGCTTTTGAAAAGATTAAACAGATTCGTCATTACCCAATACTCGGACGCAAGCTCAGCACCCGGGCGGCGGGTGACTTCGCAATGTTTCCGAGCCCGGGTCGAACGAGTACGGCCACCGGACTCTCAGACCCTTCCAACTATCAAGGGCACCGCGGCGCCACCTCACCAGCGTCACCATCCCAGTTCCCAACGTCCTTCAGCAGCGGGTTCAAGACCAGACCCCTCACCTCATGCTCAGGGGCAGCTCGGCAATGGGTCGCTGGTGGAAGGGGCTGGCCCTGACGTCATCATCATTCGCCACCGAGTGGCGAGCGTCAATAGATCACGTCGATTCCCTCCTGTCTTCCCCGCCCTGGGGAAGTACGGGATCCCGGCAGGGCCGGGCCCACAGCTCCGCCTCTGGCGCGACTAACGGCGGCACGGCAGGGGTAGTAGACTGCAGATGAGCCTGGTAGTCGGCCAGCTGGCGGCATGGAGGTTCCTTGTGGGATCATCAGTGTTGAGCCGGGCTGGTACGTCTCTGCCCAGCAGTCCGAGGAGGCGGAGGCGGGAGAGTTGAGCCCGTTGCTAGGCAACGTAAGTGCGCTCCGCCGGTGGCCAGGCTCTGACGGCTCGCGGCTTCCCTGCAGGGACGGCTCTTGAGACCGGCAGAAGGAGGGGGACGGCACCGGGAGGAGGGAGAAGCTCAAGTCTGACTCGTGAGGGGTGAGAGGGCAAAGGCAGCAGCTGAGGTTCAGCTGAGATCCAGCTGAGATCCCGGCGGAGTGCGTGAATGAGATGGCAGCTTAACGTGCCCTAGAAAGGAAAGCTGAGGTGGAGGTGCGGGCTCAGGTGGAAGCGGTGCAGCGCCGCGTGGAGGCAGAGGTCCCACTGGATGAGCAGCCCTAGGGTTGTATAACTCGCTGTTTGTTAGTATCTTTGTCAGCCTCCCATTTCCTCTACCAGTCTTGTGAGGCTTTTGCAAGAGTCACAAGATTTTTCTTTTCTCGACTTAGTCATTGGGTACCTATAAACTTCTTAATACAGAGAGCCTTAGCGATGGAGTGGAGGTGGCCTGGTAATAAGTATATAGCAATTCTCTGACCCTAAAGCTTGTGCAGTGGCCCTCGGCTTTTTAACTGAAGTCCCTGGACTGTAATAGTTTCTACAACTTTGCTCCCAGATGCTATTTTGGGGGAGGTGTTTTCAGAGATATCCTCTCCGGAGCAATGTGAATTACTTCTGTTTTTACGTCGTTATTAAAAGGTATCCCTGACTTTTTTTTCCCATAGGGCGGACTTAATGCATTATGTTTCTAAGTAGAGATTAGTTTTGAGTCCTAGTAATTGGGGAGCAACAGTTGTCCACAGCCGTCCCAAGTGGGAACTCGGAAACTCCGCAGTAATCATGTGAGCTGAGGCCATCTCCCTCCTCTTCGTCTCCACCCCATTCCTATCAAAGCTTCATCTTTTGCAGTCCCACGGTTAGTCATGGCTCTTGCTGAAGCCCACCTGGCCTCTGTGCTGGTGGAGATGATTTTCCTAGGTAACTAGATTCCTGAAGCTGCCCTAATGGGAGGTGGGAAAGAAAGGAAGCCAGTGCTGGTTGAGCAACCAGTCTGTCACACGATGCCTGTGGTTTGCAGGAGACTTCTCCAAATCTGGTTAGTCATTTCTTGACAAAATTTGAACTTCACCATGTAAACACTTAACACTATTAAATTTGTGTGCTTACAGGAACTACACAGACAGGGCTCCCCGGGTGTTTCATTTGGTTTCTCTGTGTTTAATTTGATGAATGCCATCATGGGAAGTGGCATCCTTGGCTTAGCTTATGTTATGGCTCATACTGGTATCCTTGGATTTAGGTAAGTTTTTTCTTGGGTTTAAAAAAATTTTTCTCATTTTGACAGTGCACTGAGAAGCAAAGAGGCTCCAGAAGCTGACTTCATACAATTTCTAGTTAAATTATGTCTGGGCTTTAGCATTTTCCTGCTACTCTTGTATTATTGCTAGTCTGTAGCTTGGAGGGATGCTGTGTAATTTGTATTTTTTATTCAAAAGTGTGGCTAATTAAAAAAAGTGGAAACTTGATTCATACTCATTTCTAACTTTAAGAACTTTTAACCTTAAGAAGTGGTATATTTGTTGTGTCAAGTTGACCCAAGTGTGTTTATCAGCCATGCAGATTACTCATAAATAGTAATTTTGTAAGTGTAAATAAAGCACATAATCTCATTTCTCTCTGTCTCTCCTCCCACTATTAAGTAGTCTTATTTTCCTTTCTGCGGTTAGACGTGTTCTTTGCCTATTCCTTATCACTTTTTAAGATTCAACTCTTGCAAGTTTGTCCAAATTGAGAGACATTCCTGGCTTTTCTGTGTTTCCATAGTACTTTGTATATTCATTCTACTATTATAATGCCTTATGATTTGTTTGCAAATTAGTTTCTCTGTTAAATCTTGAAATCCTTTAGAATTGGACGTTATCCTTAGTATGTAGACCATGGTTAATACAATAAATAAGCAAGTTTGCTTTGTATTGTCAGTAGAAGCAGACCTACTTTACTAGGAAATTTAAAATAGACAATCTTACTTAGGTTTTATCATCTGCTTTTATTTTGAATTTCTTGATAAGCAAACTAACAAGTAACCCAACTTGATTTTAGGAGGTGTGTTTACAAACCTTCATAATTTTAAAACTTCAAAACTGTATGGACACCTTAGGCAAGACATAAACATAGGGCTTATTTTTTGGTTGGGAAAAACCACATTTTATACTCCAGGGTCTTACATGCAGATGTGTGTATACCACTGCATGTGTCCTCATTGAGTCATACCTGGTGTTCCATTTTGTGATGCCAAACTATTACTTTGTGAGGGCTCTGATGTGAGTTTACTGACAAATGTATTTTTGCCTCTCAGTTATTCTATTTGTTATTAACAAGTACTAAGTGAACCACAAAGATAGAATTTCTTCAATTTTCAGGGAATTCCACTGAGGAAAGCTCTTTAGAAACTTTTCCTGCCATAATGTTCTTGAGACTAGGTAGGGGATTATGCATGTTGGGTTTTTTTTTTTCACACTTTTGGTGAAAGGACCCCAGTTATTATATTGTTTGGACATTTTTCAAATTATACCATTTGAAGTATGTTAACTGCCTTTTTTGGTTTGTCTGGTGAGTGTGTTTAATAGGTGCTAGGAAATGCAGTCCTAATTTGATATTACAGATGAAAGTATGATAGGGAGGTACACATCCTTGGAAGGGGAGGGATGGAGGGATGTAAAAAGACAATGAGATTTCACAACTAAAACTTCTGTTTAGACTTAGACCAGGAAAAAAAGAGTAATAAAAGGAAATACAGTATTGCAAGATCATTGAATGATTGAACCAGCAGTCAGCAGATAAATTTGTTTAGTTTTTGATAAAATCTGTTTCTTTCTGATGTCTTTTTTTGATTTTAAAAGGAGCATATATTCATTTAAATAAAACTTGATAAGTACAGCAAAGTATCTTCTTACTTTCTTTAATAACCATAATCCAACTACCCAAAAACAGTTCCTGTGAACATTTGAACATGAAAAGAAGTTTTTTTGTAATGAGATGTCTTAAAAAAAGATATTTTGGGGTGGGTTGACCATGTACTCTTTTATATTTTAGTTTCTTGTTGCTGGTAGTTGCTCTCCTGGCTTCTTACTCAGTGCATATCCTGCTTAGTATGTGTATTCAGACAGGTGAGTAAAAATATTATACTTATTCATATTATGAAGCAGCCCTTTGAGATGGTGGTATCCACGTACAGGATTGGATGTCTCAAATCTAATTTCCAGCAGGCATACATTATTATTACGTAGGGTGGTAGAAAGGAGAATTTCAAAAGGCCAAGATATATAGACCTAATCCTATAAGTAAATATCCAAGGACAGAAGGGGAAGAGAAAAAACATTCTTACCTGCCTTTCTACACAACCTACAACATGGATTGCTGGGTTAGGGTGGATTAGGGAAAGCAACTGAAAGGTGTTCAAAGGATG